GTAAGACGTAGACTTGACGATTAACTGAAAGATAATCACCAAGATTACTAAATACAAAGCATTCAGAAAATATCAGAAGTTACTATATAGAAATTAAACAATCAAATGATTACGTTACCAGAGATAACATCAGACTTCGCTCATTTTAAACATCGGTAAAATATCAAGACTATACGACAGGATGAATTACAATATACTAAATACTGAATATACGCACAATACTCATGAAAGCAACCGTCTGTCTAATAACTCTGCTAGAACATGCAGTCTTTGGCTAGGTAAATCAGCATATAGACTGTACCCTTTCACAAATCCTCGTCCCTGATAGAATTTAATTATGATACTCTATACTTACAACATACGATAAAATACAACATACTGATGTGCGACACTTCCATTATAAACTAATTGCTACCGAAACAATTTCGCTCCGTCTCCAATCAATGAACTGCCATCAGATCGTGCGGCTTAATAAACCTGGCTGTACTACGTACACCACATAGCCCACTTTTGTTACTCGTGTCCGCATAGTCTCGTAAAACGTATTATCAGGTATTCCTTATCACGTGATACTCTCAAGTGAATATTATTGACCAATAGCACTAAAACACAAACTATGGTTAATCATATGCACGCTAGCAAGGTCATTGGGTGACGCTATTACAACAAACGGTACAAATATACGAAATTTGGTCTGAACAAATGTAATATATAAACTAATTATTAATTAACTAATGCACAGTCACTGACAGCTGAAGGTTTAAAAGCTGCATTCAGCCAGCCATTTCTAACCGGTTTTATCTATTGCAGGTGTCAGACAGTAGGCGCCAATTATTGTATTCAGCAAACGGTGGCGACAGGATGCGACGCTTGGCACGTCACACCTAGCGCATAAGACGCTACGCATATACCGCTCGATGACAATGGACGGGCGCGCCTCCCGTATCGCCTTGCGCCGGGGATGGGTGACGCGACGCCCCACATCTACGAGCCAATAATACAAGGTCCGGCCGATAATGACGAAAAACCGGTCGGATTGAAAATGTCGCCGGCCGGTTTTCGGAAACGTATAAATAGGCACGGACGAAAGATCATAAGTTAGTTATTACCCAGAGGAAAAGACGAGAGACGATGTAGTGGAGATGTAATGGACGAAAACAGAGATGACTGGACCTAGGCACAGTCACCTAGGTTACCGTAGTGTATATATATTTTGTATTGTGTTTTACTAATAAAGTCAGTCTTCAAGAACAAATTCTGCGACTACATCGTCTTTACTCTTTTTGCTAACAACTCTACAATTCTACGATGCTACAATTCTTCGCTGCTACGATGCCGGAGCGGAAATCAACAACCCTATTCGAACGACAATAATTGGTGGATGATGCGGGTAACTGCTAGATCAACAACAACCTTTTTCCAGTACAATACAAGCGTCAATAAACGAGCGTTTGATATCTGCTACTGGTATAAGGCACGCTTCACTGACCGACTCCTCCATCTTCTTCCACAGCTCCTCAGCGCTGAACTTTATAAGTCCGCTCTCACTCACCAGCGAACCGCTATCAAGACGTCCCAGTAACTCAACCACGTGCCGCTCACGCAAATACGCGACCGGCACGTATGTGATTGTTATACCAAAGTCCTCGGCCAGAACATTGAAATTATCAATATAAGGATGCGGCATTTTGCGCATATTTGTACACGATTGTACGTACTTAAATATTTTACGCACGATTACTGGGAACGGCAACGGATCCGCTGGGTTGAGTGATGCGACATGAAGCAGCGCAAGTTTTAGGAGGTAGGAGTCGATCAGTTTCCTAGGCCTAAAGCGAGTGGCGATATACAGCTGAATAACGTCTATGTTAGCTGCACGTAAATATGTAACGTCACTGTCTGTAAGCAACTCATTCTTATTCGATATGTTTCCACACTTATCATCAAAATCATGTACTTGAGGATCAAGAAATGCTTTTGCTGTGATTAGAGCCTGGCGATAAACTGGATGGAAACTTTTGATCATATTGCTTTCCGCTACTGCCGTACAGACGGTCCAGTACGTATTATCTGTGTCCACGCCAGGCTTGGGTACCACGTGGTAGTGGTCATCAGGAAAGCTTGTTGCGCCAGCTGGCTTGCCCGCGATTCGTACTCCCGGCGTAACATCTACCGATATAGGTAGAAAATTGAAATGTCCGCCGCCAACAAATTTTAAATTAAATTGAGTGCACACTTTGTTCCATGCCAAAATATGTGACCTTTGTAATTTGAATAAATGCTCTCCGTTTTTCATGACTTTCGATACAGCCCGGCACACTAGCTTAACAAATTTTTCCTTTATATCTACCGAAATAAATGGCTGGTTTGAGTTTTCCTCGCGAATTGTTACAAAGCCAGCTCTATTAGATTTTGTGTTTTCAATATAAATTTTTTCTCGATATCTATCGATTTCGAATAGGAAGTCGTATTCGTCCGGCAGACCAGCGTTTGTGCGGTT